AATAGCTCTCAAGACTGAAGGTTTGTACTTATCGATTTTCAATAATCCCAAATTTACAAGGCAGTTTGCGCACTTTTGGCTGCAAAATAAGCCATAAATAATCTGACTTCTGTATGTTTCAAATCCTCGACTAGTGAACCATGGGAAATTATTGGCAAATGGAAGAGACTACAGAAGAATGAAACAATCTGGCATTAGTTTAAATTGGACTTTGTAGGTTTGGTGTGAGATAGACTTACCTCCACGTGGTGCACCCTGGGCAACTTATACTCCTACGACAAAAAAGTCTATTAACCGGCAGTTGACTTCTGACTTCAAACTACCATCACCCCACTGATTGTGTCATATTCGACTACTTTCACAGTACTCATCTCACCTTTTTCCTACGTTTGTGTCTGTCTCTTTACATCTTTGAAACCCTCTTCTGTCCCCCCCCCCTCTCAACTTTTTTTTTACTTTGATGTTCCTTCCCCTCTGTGAAGCCTGAAGTCAATAAGTTTAAATTGGCCTTTGTAAGTCAAATGATTTCAAAGGTAATTGGAAAGCACAACTTAGTCTTTTGTTAGGAAGAGTTATATTTCTTTCACTGGCAAGTGAAATGACAACACTCCCAATCAGACAGATTCAATTGGTTGTTCAACTAAACATTAAACATAATTGATTTCTGAAATAGACATCCGAATGGACAATTTTATTTGCGGAAAAAAATTTACTTCAAAGTGAACATTATACCAACCGTAACCAACGTTCCAAATCAACGAAACTTACCACGATTTAAATATTGAAGCAATTAAAGGTACTGTGGTAACAACAATACCAAGGAGTGAAATTAAGTTGAAAACCGAATTCTTATGGGGGCAAAAGTACCAGTTCTAAATAGGGGGTCTATCAATTTCGGTTAAGACTTCTGTGTGACAACAACACGAGTCCATCTTAAACGACTTTTAAAGTAATTAGTTGGATAAATACTCAGATTGATACAAAAAGTTACCAATCCATTTGGTCGATTGAGCTTTTGGAATTACCTCAAGAAAAATTTCATTTGAAATGCGCTTGATTAGTTGATTCGATATTAGTTAATTAAGTCTGAAACTAGCATCCCTTTATCGCCGTGATAAAACTGCGGTGCACATCTTTCCAGTTCTCTAATGTTTGAGAATTCAGTGATGTGAATGGTACTGATTACTTCTGGTCAACAAAATGGCGACGCAATACAAGCTCCACTGAAGATACCCTCCCACAACCCAAATTAAATCTTGAGAAAATTCCTCCAAATAGGTTTGGATGATTCGAAATATGTCTCAGAATTTAGCTTCATAAGCTAAATTGAATTCTTCAGCGTAGACACGTAATCAGAATTCGTAAATAGACCATTGTTCTTATATATATATATATATAAGACGGTTAGAGATTTGTGGCAAATGCAAAGATATATATATTTCATCAAAATATAATGAATGAATGAAATATCCGATCGAACAGGCTTTTGAAATCCAATGGGACTCAGCCCTCAGAAAAAAGTCCTAGCTGGACTTTGTTTAATTCAAGGTTCAAAGTAAGGAGGATTTTGCTACTTAATAGCATCAGAAGAAGGTTCGAATAATTGAACTTGAACATGAAGTAATTCAACCGAACTCACCCCAGATTCACGATCAAAAGTGCATATTTCCGTGCCTTCTGCAAAACAAGGCGGATTTTTCTTATTCTCGCATGGATCAGCGTCACTTACGCAAGCTCCAATCGCCGCATTCCACGTACCTCCAGGCTTGCACTTACAAGCATATTGGTGCTGAAAGAAGCCTTCACCGGTCAAGTAACAACTTCCCTGTTCATCCACCGCTGACATACAAAGACCAGGTTGTTTGCAGGGATTTGGACAGAGATAACTCATCATTGGACGTTCGCTTTCAGGCATGGCCAGCATTGCATGACACCAATGAAGACAAGCCACCATAATGGTCCGTCTTTGTAGAAGCACTTCGGTGAGTTTTATGTCGTCCAGTGCTGCAACTCCCCAAAAGTCAATTCTAAATGTGCCCCACATATTTATTCGGGGTATAAATTCCTTGTTTTGATATAACAAATCAAGCATTGTTTGGGTAATATTTTGAAAGCCGAACTCGCAGTATGGATGCTCATCGTGCAGACATATACTTGCATTGGACTTCTTAAGCTCAGCCATTAAACCTTTGGCTAAAGGAGCATAGAGTTCAACAAAAAGTGGGGTTATAAATTTTTTAGCATCTTTGTCATATGTACTGACTGGAAAGAGTGGTCCGCCGTAAACGTCGAACGGAATTCCTTTTTCGAATACTGACGGACATATGACAGAGCTGGAGACGTCAACAATTATAAATGACAAAGTGGCATAAATAATTGTGGCGCAAGCAAATCCACAGTTTCGCATAATGAATAAGTGAATAAACTCGATTCGAGTTAGTGCTTTCTTATCGATCGCTTTTTTTGGCCGAACTAATCAAATCTCCTCGCGTGAGCAGGTGTTTACACTAATTGGGTTATTTTACGTTTAACTCGAATTTATACTCAGATTTGGGGGCTAGACGAAACAGTAGAAAATCTAATTATCCTCATTAAAAGGCCTGAACAAACCAATTTCCATTGCAACTTTTCCTTGTCGATAATATTTCTAAGCCTATCTATCAAAATATATTAAACTAGAACAACGAGTAAATTGTTGGCACATCTGATTTTATTCTTTTTGGTTTGGAGCCTTGGTTGTTGACTTCCTGTTCTTGAATTTGGGACGAAATCGTCTCACTTTGCAATCATACGTAGCGCATACCACAGCGTAAGCCTACAATTGAACCTTAGTAATCAAACTAGTTGCAGACAAACACAGCCTGCCTCTAGCAAAGTCCTCAGTGCAAATTTTCCTAGATTTAACAAATCAACGTCAGGAGTGAAAACGCAGAAGGCATCGTGTGAGAGAGTGCGAGCATCTCACCAGGGAGCCTCATGATGACACTCGAGATTAATGCCAGGAAGGGACTTCTCCGACGGACCTTGGACTCATTATTGCTCACAAAGTAGTTTTGAATTAACTACAACTTCTTAGCAAAGACTGCCTTACTCGAATTAGAGCTATGCTTGCTTGTTCCACATTTATTCAACAGATCCGATTTGGCCACAGCTAAGGCGTTACAGTTTTCTCCAAACTTCAAACAACAATAACCAAATATGCTGTCATCAACCAGAACCTAATGGATACAAATTTCATTCAAAAGGTTTAAAAACTAAAATTGTACAAAAAGGCTTTACTTGTTATCAATATTAGCGGAAAAACGGCGAGTTACAAAAATAGCAAAAGTGATTCATTTTTGTCTAATAGATTCGATTTAAATGCATTTAAAAGTCGAGATTTGAGCCAGCGTATTCCAAAAGAGTGGAATCAATTTTCGAAATTTCATCATCGATACTAGTGTCCTCAAAACCTGTACTCTGGCTGGTCATTTGTGAGTCATTAAGCGGTACCTTAACAGCTCGCACTTTCACTCTAGAACGTTGAGAGCTAACAGTCTCAGCGTTGGATGTCAAAGGAATACCCTTGATGGCTTTCTGGGCCAGTTCATAGTACTGGTTTGGGTGATTTATTGCAACTGTAGAGGCATCCTCAACTGATAAGTCCGGATGCATAGCCTGTAATACAAGAGAGCGAAATATGGATAACTGATGGAAACAGGGCAGTAATACAATTTAAGCCGTTATGCCTTTTACCTTGAAGAACTCTCTACAAGCTAGTTGGTATTGTTTATCCTTAGACCGTTTGACAATCACTTCAACTTGATCTGAAGGAATTTTACCACCGATCGAAAGACGCTGGTGAAGTAATTCAGGATCCAAATGTCGGAAAGGACAACCGTGGAATTCTCCAGTAGCCGGTTGGCTAAATGAAATGACCTGCATGAAAAAAGCAATAGAAAGGAAAATTTGACATTCCGCTTACCTTCATGCACGAATAAGGCGTATAATCAGCACGTTTACCTTCTTTACCATAATTGTGACGAATACTATAAGCATACTGCTTCGAAAATTGGTCTGTATCAACCTTGGGAGCGAAAGAGTTGCGCCAGAATTTGAGTGCTTCATCCAGAGACAACCCGATTCCCTAGAGAATGCCATAAAAGCAGATCGAATTTGAACACTAACCTTTAGGAAAAGTCCATACTGCATGCGCCCCCAATGACGAAGATGGTGATTAGCCGCAAGAGCTTCATGCAAATGCGACATACAAGGTGGAAATAGACCCGGAGTTCGAGCCAAATCACCTACTTGTACAGAGGAAACAGCACCGAAAACAGGCTTTTTTGTACTGTAATCGTCATTTCCAAGGTAACGCTTAGAAAGACCAGAGAGAAGAGGTAGTAAACGAGCACCCTCATCAGCTAAACGCGGGACTAGAGCCAATCCAAGGCGTGAGAGGTTACGAGAAAGAGACGCGCGAAACCTTGTAACAACGAGGCTAACTAACTCGGCATCCGGGACGTAGGCAAAACCAGCTTTAAGGAAAACTTGCCTACGGCGAACAAGGTCTAAAACTTCGGTGAAGTGAACTTTATAAAAGTTAGCGTAATCTCCACTAACGCCGTAAATATTTGTCCCAGAAATCAGCTGTTCTCTAAGTAGTAAAGATTCATCCGAATCAATACGTGCGAAGTGAAGATTATTCATTCTTAGAAATTCGTTGATTGTATCCATGGAGTGACCAGATGCGGCGCGCTCTAAGTTGAAACGATAACGGAAAAGGTCCAATTCTTGCTGAATAAACCAGCGACGCATTGTCTCACTGCGACAGTATGCGATCTAACAAATGTGCAAAATATGGTAAACAGATAAGAGGTGTACCTGAAGTATAAAATGCGAAGTTACATCATTGTGAATATCTTCGGCAAGATTTTTAGGCTGATTTGAAGTTAAAGTGAACGACTTTGCGATTGGACCAATTTTGCAAAGCTCCGCTGACAATTTTCCATCATATTCCTTACTGCCACGAATAAAATCTTGGCCAACGGATTCAATGCATTTCAGAATTTTTAAGCGTTCAATGGCCAATTGCTCAAGGTGTTCTAGTTCTATTGTATGCACAGGGGGTTCATTGTAAAATTGGATGCGAGGAGTTAAATTCCTGCTTGAAATGGGCTTCGCGAAATCCATAGCTGTACATTGCGCCTTAACTTCGGGTTATGACATTTAGGATATTGAAACAAAATTTTAATTTTTAATGACAATACCAAGGGAGAAATTTCACTTTACTTTGCAATAAAATTAAATAAGTGCATTTAATTTACTTTAATGTTGGTTTATTACTCTCTTATGAGAATAATTTATTTTTTGTTGAATTATTAAGAAATTTAGATAATATGCATCAAATGATGCCAAATTGTTCATTACAACTATATTTAATAGATTGTAATATAATTATATATAATATAATATTCGTAAATCTTCTATCAAATACCAATTTCTAATAAATAATCCAGAATTCATGTGAATGAATATAGGGCAACTCTTTTCTTGTCTTCATTATTAGATAAACTTGCACATTTTTTGGTTTTTTTATATTTTTCATTCAAGATTATGTTTATCAATGCAGCTTTGATTACTCTGCAAAATTAATTTACAGATGGTATTCAAAAGTAAGAAAAATGACATAAAGCCAATCGTCAACAAGGCGAAATTTCAAACGGGTTTCTTCGGGTTTTATATTTTAGTTCTAATATCTGTTCTCGTTAATTAAAATAAAGCACAATAAGTTTCATTCCAACCCAGTATGTGAAAATGATTTCATATTTCTAAAACATATATTTAAAGCCACAATTTATTTTAGTTCCAACCAGAGCTTGCTTTCCCTGTTTTCCAAATGCTATCATCAACTCTTAGCGTATACCTATTCGGTATATTTAAGCAAACACGAAAATGTTAGAGAGAATATTCAACGTTAATAGGGCAGTTAAATTCATATATATGATAGACCAAAGGGTCACGTTGATATCTGGTGAGAAATCGATCTCAAATTTTGTTTTTTTTTTAATTTCAAAAGTGATGTTCTTAATTTCCTAATTATATCCTAACTATGACCTTTAGCGACCATTAAATTCAACTACCATACTAAAATAACCGATAATAAATTTAACACAAGGTGAATTGGTATGTTGACTAAGTTGGTGGAAACTAAGTCTGGAAGATCGTGCCTTTGAGAGTACAACACACTTGAGTAGTTAAAGATAACCACAAACACACCAATAAAGTAAAACTACTGAATCTCTATTCTCCTCGAAATATAAGGAATTCGAACCCATATCAATAGCGAACATCTTCCTCGGTTCCCTAAGAATCATTGCAGTGCAATCGTCAATATTAGAGTCCTATCTAACGACTAGTCCAGCGAAAAGCACCGAATTGATGATTGGAAAACTGAAAATTAAAAGCATTTGTAAAATTATTCACTGACGACAGATAAATGAGCCGACTGTTTTGAATTCAATCGAATTGGCAAAGCGCGGATGTATATCATATCATGAAATTTTACACCATTTTCAATGGTCGAACTTTAATGGCATCTCAAGAAAGCGAGTTGACACAGGCTGAAGGTGAGTTGAAAAGGAAGGGAGGTGGATGGGAATGAAATTAATACCTACTCGATAAAACATACTAAATTGCGTTATTTCATAAAATAATTATGCGATTGTTGGATTTGGAATTTCCTATTGTCCTCCAAGTGGGCCCGAAATTGAAAACGATGTTCTGTTAACAAAGACAGTGCAAAAATTGATGCTATTCATTTTCACTTTGTTCATAATTTCAAAAATAAACACCGCTGGATCATGGCAATTTATATCTGGAGTGGGGTGTGCGCACATCTCTTCGGATAAAGGATGCACCCAAGTGTAGTAAACAAGTGGTTTAATCCCACATGAAAGAATTTGTTCCACTCTCTTCCTGTCAACGCAGGCCCTCAAAGTGAACAATTGGGAGAGTGCTGATAATTTGTGAAGCGAAGGTAGTCATGCTAACTTGATGACCAAAGAGCTGATTGCACGCTAATGCGTATGCGTGCTAATGACGCGCGCGTGCAGCCAGTGTGCACTTTGAGAAATAAAATAGAAAATGTGTAGTCAGGACAAAAGAACGCAATTGTTGGCAAGGCCATCATAATGAAAGAAATAGATTCAATTCGATTTGATGAAGGAATTCAATAGAAAAAGAGGAATTTGCCCAAAGTACGAAGTGTTTTGTGTAAAAACGTAAGATGAGGATAGGCCATTTAAAGAAATTCTCGTAACCTCAAAATTAGTTAAATGTTCCTCTGCTTACTTAACTCTAATTCATTCATAAATTGCACAATGCGAATATGTTACAAAGACGACTCAAGGATCTTTGTTGAGATCTTATCAATCTTACACTCGTGGAGTCCTTATTTTTAGAAATTTCGTT